GCTCATAAAAATGCAATTCTGGGAATGCATCGACAAAGCTTTAGAACCGAGAACTGGGTTTAAGTGTGTGTACAAGCAAAAATTAGTCTACTTAAAAAGTATGCATGTTAGGCTCAAAACAGCACCTAGATCAATGACTGTTCATATCAAATGAAAGAAATGATGCTTGATTGGTGTTAACGATATCCAAACACTTTAATGACCGAGATTACATCATACTTGAAGGCATTCAAAACGAATGTTAAGCAATTGAATGAATACGACAATTGGCTAATCTATGAGGAGTGAATATTGGGTAGCCTGGGATATCCTCCAGCCCTAAAAGGTATCCAAGGCGGGGTGTTTCTTATATAAAATTATAGTAAATCAAAGAGTTTACACAGGCTAGTAATAGTAGGGATGGCAAGGGTTTTTGTGGATGGAGAAAATTAAAAAATTTGCTTCGGCAGTGATCACATACCCTTGTCCAAAGCTATGCGGAAATCCTCGACGATTTCTTGATTTCCGGGAACCCTGTAGACCCCCTCCGCCACAAGGCCACCTCGTCGCTCTAATTCGGTAATGCACTTGACCAACACCTGAGGTACAGTCCTTTGATAAAATGAGAACAATAGGCGTTAATACATAAAAGTGTACAAGAGTGCTGTATCCTTACAAGGGATAATAGTAGTATCATTGAGGAGTCACTGTCGTGTTGAGAAAGAGCGATTAAAGATTGCTGCCATTACCATTCACAAATGTATCCTACTGAAAAGAATAATAGTCTGAAGAACAATACCTAATGCAGTGTATAATCAAATAAACACGACGTCAGATCGACTTGAAACTAAAGACGGCAGTTTAATGGTCTACGGCAGGATAGCCACAATTATCAGAATGACCCACATGACTAGACACAATAATAGATGCGACTGGTAAAACAGCACATGTACGACAAATCGGTATGACGCCATGGTAACTACGTTTCAGGTTGGCTTAAAGGGTATTGTTTTATGCGAAGCCGAAACCGATTTTAAAAGGCCACACAAATTAATGTGGCAATATTAGAACTTAAATACGAAGATTTGTCAGTGCAAGGTTCGATTTCCGAGTTAGTCTAAAATTCATTCTTTCCGATTCCTCCCACACATGCTTAATTATTCTTAAAGCGGTACCCCTGAAGCAGTTTATCCGTACTTCGTCTTTACGTCGCTATTACGCACGAAATTTGAAAGATGTGAGATCACAAGTTATTTCCTTTATTCTGCATATGCAGTGTGCTCTTTAAAAGGGCTCATCTAGCGGAAGTTTCTACACATCTTTCAACACCGCATTAATTAAAGCTTTCCTCGCGGTGTGGATGACACTGATCACCAGACCGCAGCACGAGGGCTAAAACGCGCCATGACTAATCTTCTTCTCCCTTAAGCATTATAAATCAATGCCAATTTTGGTTGAGCGAATATGAAAGGCACGTAGAGAGGCGGTAATGCGCCACCTCCTTGATGCGGTGTCTGTGCATCTCGACATCATCTCAAGGGGAAGTACCGCGGATGAAGGGCATTGCCGGCAGTTCATATTTGTCAAAAGAAGAAAATAATTGCTACTCAACTATAAAAACTCAGCGTGTCGCATGGAAGAATCCAGTAGAATGAAAAAAACTGCACACACGAGCATAGAAAAATGCAAGGTTAAGGGGTCACGGAGCCTGCTTAGTCATGTTCGAGCACAGAGAATAACACCGAATCAGCAACACATCATCCACTCGAGCTCCTGTTCCTACGCGCACAAACACTTGGGACTAAAGGAGACAGGCAGAGAGAGAGTTAACGAGGGAGGGAGCTCTAATTGACTTCCGGAGTTAGCAACCGACCGGCGGCCAATCGACGCACGTCAGGACTGGCATGTGCTTTAGCCGGCCGGTTACATAAGCAGCCAATGAGAAAGATACACGCACACACATACAAACATGCAGAGAAAAGGATGCATAGTTATTTTTTTGCCTTGATAACTTGATTACTACCCAGTCTCGTGCCTAGTACTAATCCACAGTAAAGAATAGGTAAGCAGTACCTACTGGACATAAAGGCTGTTACACTTTGGGGCATAAAGTGATGTCTGCTGCAAATTATTTCTGCAGAAAAGTTTTGTTAAATGCTGATAGGTAAAACTTTTTGTGTGAGAATAACAGCTAGAAATGCGGCCAGAAGTTATTCACTCGAAAATCCTAAAGTCAGCTGAATCAACAATGCATTCCAGAAGAGAGGAATTGAGCTAGTCCCCTCCGAAAATAGAAAAACCAAACGACTCAAAGTTGAACTTTTTTACGACACCTAGATTCTAACGAATAATTTTTGAATGTGAATGTTGGCAAAGGAATAGTTTACTGATGAAACGAATTATGGAATTGAAATGAGGGACATGCGTTACCTCAAACACAATTCTTAAGCGAACTAAAAGAAAGTCCTTTAGAAATCAGGTTACGTCGTGATAGCACGAAAAGTGTTGGACAATTTAGCCAAAGTGAGTCAGACGCGTCCTCGATGCGTGGAGTTCGTGGGTATAATGAAAACTAGGGTTTGTGAATGTGCGAATTCACCACGCCTTTTTCGCGGCTACCTGAGATACCATAGTAAAGTGTGGGATTTCCCTGACTCATAAGGTCACCCGAAACCGCAAAAAACCCATCTTTCTGTTGATCTGACCAAAACCCAGTCTTTTGATGAAACAACTTAAAGCTAAAACAACACCGATCTGGCCAAGGCATAGCACAGCCATTTGGCTGCATCATCTTCACACCCTCATTGTTCCGTGAAGGCAGAAAAAGGATATAAAATCACCTGAAGCAAAACAATCAAATAGTAATTAACAATACCAACGAGGAATAACAAATAGTGCAATTAAGTTTGTCACCTGATGAGAACTATACGAAAGACCGTGACAGTACGTGATTCTAGGAATATGTTTGGTGTTTGAAGGAGTCAGATTTTAGTTGAATGGCCAATGAAGGTAGGAGAGCCATGTAAAACTACATCGATTAAGGATAATAATGTTCGAAATGGGAAGGAAAAATATTATCTTAAAAGTTGGCGCTGCTCCTACTGTGGTACCGTTTCGCATTAGCCTGCCCTAATGCACCACCACGATAGGAATTTAGGTCTGCAAACGCGGTTAAGGCACAGCGGAAACAGACTATCACACAGCACAGACAAAATTTTGGAGATCGTAAATTCCGTCACATTGCAGAAGATATCGATAAGGGAACAGAGTGGAAAGAGCCAGGTATGTCATAAGTGGGCACATGCGATGAGTAGCTGCCACCCCGAGAAAAATGTGCAGGCAAAAGAAGACCTTGTTTAGACAAAACAGGCAGAAAGAGGAAAAGGCAAAAAACCCAGTTGCAAAAAAAAGAACGCCATCTCATGCAACATCGTAGCTACCTCTAAAACTGCCAGAAACTGGGTGTTTCATGATACGCCTGCTGGTCAAATATTGCAATATTATTACAAACAAAACTGACTCATGATAGGTTTACGGCTTGATCTATTTTATCATATGACCCTGAGAATGCAATTCAGCCGAATTAAAATAAGTCGTGTGATGATATGGGAGAAGAGAAGATAAACAGGCAAGACTTGCGGTACTTAACAGATAAGCTCTTGAAATTGGAGATCTAACTACACAAAATTTAGCAAATGGATAAGAAATGAAAAGGATACAACTAGTCCGAAGAGCAGCATGAATAGCTACCAAAGTCATTTGAATACCCTACTGGACATGAAAATCCAATAACGTGACTTTCAAGGTAAGAACGTTGGTAAATGGAGACCACAGAACGTACTCACCTGTTCTCGGCACGAACCAAACTGGTTAGGTCCACACCGAAGACTCGTTTGAGACGTTTCATATCTGGAAGACAGTCGTTGGGAACGCTTAAGGAGCAGCGCTTGTGAGCCTGAATTAGAGTATAGCAACGTCAAACCACCAAACACTAGTTAAATAACACGATCGTCAATAGCTTTCATTTTTCCAGCTTTGGTTTAAATCCGGGATATGTCTATAATACCAACTTCACATAATCGGTTACGAGGAATATTCTACTCCAACTCTAAACCAAATTAGTTCTCCAAATGTTTGCTTGTGTGTTAGGTGAGGTATAACTATTTTAATAGATATTTCGGAGAAGCTTGAAATGTGAAATCATATTTACTTGAGCAGAGCATGGTGTTCAATGAGATGCCGGGATTAACCTCTACCTCGAGACAATCTCCGGAGAATTTGACTACGAGGTGGAAGCTTATAAATTTCTAACCTCTCGAGGACAATGCTAAGGGGTGGGGTACATGCATTCCAGAGCTAGAAGAGCGATAGCTTCTCATGCGAAGTATG